CTTGGTTGGGTCCAACAGCACGACAACAAGTCTTTGAGAACCACAGCCTGGAAGGCTCTGCCACACGGTCGCATGCCAGCTCCTCACTCCCAGAGCTGAGCAAAGACCAAACCACGCTGGTGCACGCAGTGTCGCCTGCCCTCCAACACCTGCAGCCTGGAAACACACCTACCACCACAGGCAGAAGAGTCATCGTTAGAAACAACAGCTACATTTACCGAGACAGAGGTTTCTTCGCCACTTTCCAGCGGAGGTTGCTTCCAGGTGCTGGAATGCCATAGCGCAGAACACAAGCTGCAGCAGCCTTTCACAAGGGGGTCAGACCTCCTAACCAGCACTAGGTACTTCTTTCTATACCATATGTATAGACATGTTAAACGAGCATCCATTTTAAAAATTCTAATGAGCATTAACTGATGATGCAAACCAACTGACCAAGATCTTGCTTTGCTATTAACACATGTTATTAATCACGTTTTGGGAAGACCCTGAGTATTAGTATTTACAGCTGGACTTGATGATCTTAAAGGTCTTTTCCAACCTAAACAATTCTATGATTCTATGACAACGCACTTTTTGTTTCTTTGGACAGCCACCACCATTCCCTTGTGGTGTATGAAATGTCACTGGAAGCAGTTTTCATGCAATGAGAGGTCCGAAGGCCACCTCCACGCCTGGCAGAGATCTGCATTGCTTTTCTGACCTCCAAGAAGCAATGCTAACGTACGCCAACCGGCCCCATGCTTCTGTGCTTCCCGTCTGTGAAACCTTTTATGTGCATTTACACATGCACGTTCATCTTGGAATTAGTGCCCAAACATGACTGACAATCTCTGCAGAAACCAGCATTTAGGGCACATGGTGGTGGTTTTCTTCAAGGGAGGAAGAATCTGGAACATTAGGAAAGCAGCTTAGATACAACAAAAGGTCTCACTAAGAGTGGACCCAATAAAGCTTGTTTTTCCTGGGGATTTCTGCTGGTGTGCCCTAGCCCTTTCCCCGTCCCACCTCTACCCCCACGTGTCTTCTGAGCAGACACCAGGAAGAGACGGCATTTGCACGGGCTAACGAGAGCTGGACCCACCTGCCCCAGACTGCTGACTGCTACTGACCTGCACACTGGCAAGCTCTGCCTGTCTCTCCTCCAGGCAGGACCTTCATTTCGCCTTTCTCTCTTTTGCTTTTCACAAAAAAAAAAAAAACAAACAAACCAACAACCCCCAACTAGCCCTTTTTTCCCCACAAATATGGCTGAAAGTAGTCACAAGCTTCCTAAGTTATTGGGAGCGACTGCCTAACAGAGCGATCACACAATCATCAGTTCCTTAAGAAATCAAGCTAAAAACAATACTTAGCCAGTAAAAATAAATAAATACCATGTGTTAGTATACACCACCACAAATACCAGGGCCACAAAGGTGGTAAATGGACTGGAGGCTCTTTCGTAGGAGAAGAGGCTGGGACTCTTCAGCCTGGAGAAGAGATGGCTCAGGGAGATCTTACCAGTGTGTTTAAGTACCGGCTGGGAGGGAGCGAGGACGAGGGAGCCAGACTCTTCTCTGGACAAGAGGCAATGGGCACAAATTAAAGCACACCGAATTCCACCTGAACACAAGGCAGCACTTTTTCACTGTGAGGGCGGTCAAACACCGGCACAGGCTGCCCAGAGAGGCTGCAGAGTCTCCCATCCGTGGGGACGCTCAGACTGACCAGACACGGTCCTGGGCAACCTGCTCTGGCTGGCCCTGCTTGAGCAGAGGGTGCTGGACTAGATGCTCTCAGGAGGTCCCTGCCGACCTAGACAATGCTGTGATTCCACGAAACACCATAACATGCAAGCGATAATTACCCTATGTTCATACATAATGTGAGACAGATGGAAAGAAAACAAAACCACCAAAAATCTGGTGCAATCCCACATCTTCAGTAGCTCGGAGCTCACGAAAAGCTGAAACATTGTGTATTAAGCCCCATAATCACAGAGACTTGACAGCACCGCCTCATTTCAAGGAACTTCTATTTTCAATCCACTAGGTGGATTTCAAGCCTAGGTGCTTCTGCTGTCCTATTTTAGGACAAGAGGAAAATACGGAGTCACTGTGCAGCCCAAGTGTTTAGAAAATAATGTAGTAATTTGCTTTTGTAAAGATTGTTTTAAAAGATAATATACAGAATCATCTCAGAGAAAGAGACAGAAAAGCACTGAGAAGGAAAGCTTTCCTTTACAGCATTTAGCGCAAGTGAAATAGAAGTTGTTAGAAACAGGCCCAATTTAACAAAACATACCTATAGAGTCTGTTTGTGCACAATTTCTGCATCAAGATGAAACAGCCAGATTTGATGGTTCTGCAGCAGTGGTAACGACAATACAACACACATTTTTATGCCAGAGAACAATGCACACTTGTGGTTTCAGCTACTTTGGAATTAATAAACTAATTTAACTAAATTAATAAAAAATTAATAAATTAATAATTATAACTCAGGGTCTTTTGACACAACATTGCAAGAGAAGAACAGATCAGTTTTTCATCTCCAACTCCCAACTTTCTTTGTTGCAACCAGCATTCATACAGAGAGAGGAATCAAGCCTGGGATCCAACCCTGTTCCCAGAGGAGGATCCTCCCACCTAGACGTGCAGCACAGGAGGCTGAACACTGCTCGAGATGTGGGACGGGGCGGACCTTCCCTGGTTACCACGCGCACTGCTATAGAACAGCAATCCGCATCCTGGTGGGAAAAACATTTTCCTATTTTTTGGTAATTTACAATTATCTGGGAGACAGCAGAAGCCTCCATAGATTTGCACCTCCATAACATGTAATTTACTGCATAGTAAGCAGCCTGTGGGAAACAGGTGCAGATAAATAATGTACTTTTTTTTGTTATATGCAGAGCGCAATAACAGCCATACATTCCAAATATGGCCTTGTAACAGGGATTATGTAGAGGCAGAACACTCATTTGTTCTCATAAAAAGCACATTATCTATTCCTTTTTGGTAACAAGTCTCCTTGCAGTCACTTTTTTCCCCGCTTACATTGAGCTGCGCATAAGGATGACAGAGTATCATCATCATCATCGGTACTTTGGAAATCTCAGCAAACAGTATCCTGCTATGGCGCCTGAGTTTCCTTGCAAGGAATGTAACTGTTGTCGCTACATTTGCTTCCAGAAAACTCATCCTCTATATCTAGCAAGTCAAGAACAGAAATCCACCCGAGTCCAAAGATGCAGCATCATTCCAACTGGACTGTTCCGTTCCCCATTTGTAGTCCCGTTTTTTTCCCCATAAATAGTGCACTTTTTAAAAATTTTATTTCTCAGAAGCTGCAAAATACTGTCTCTACACAACGTCTAATAAGTAAAGTCTTATGTACTCAGAACCATTTTTCAATCCCTACATGCACTCAAAAGAATTTTAAAAGATTATTTATTAGTCCATTAATACATAATTAAAACTCAGGACTAAAACTTTAATTGACTCTCACTCTCAGCATTAGTGATGGACTGCAAGTATCCTCCTCCTCAAGTTAGCAAGATTCTTGCACACGACTATTAAGCTACAAGAACACGTCTGTGAAAATACTGCGTGGTGCTTTTCATTGTTCTAAAGCTAATTACCCCTAATTAATGACCCCTTAACAAATCAGAACTTGACTCCTAGTCAGACTACTGAATCTTAAATCTTCTGCTCTTTCTTAGTCTAAAAGATGGAAAAAAACCCACTTTTTAAGAAGCTGTGTAGTGACACAAGGATGATGGGATGGCGATGGACTTTCTCCGCCACCAGTGCTTTATCCCAGTTCGCAGACTAGCACTTCAGGAGGCTAAACAGCAAAGCCTCTGGTTCACAGTCCTCATTTATGGCTGAAAAGACGCTCGCGATTTCAGCAGGGACAGGCGCAGATGCAGGAAGAAGACAGAGTGCAAGTCACCTCCCTCTCTGTTTTGTCTACAGCCGAGTCTTTGTAAGCCAAGGATTTTCGTTCCTTTCCGTCAGAGGGTTTTGTTCCTCTCATGATCCACTTTCAAGTCCCCCCTCCCAGCTGAGCAGCTCTGATGTGGCTCCCATGGGAGCGAATCCATACTCCAGGAAACTGCAGATGCTAACTTAGGAAACTATTTTATTAAGGTTCCAGGTGTAGTTTTGGCAAAAACAAGTTTCAAAAATGAGATGCTATACTCTCAGGGTAATTTCTTGCTCCAACTAAATAGCTTACTGCTGACGTTAAAAAAGCTGTATGGCTGCACAGGCATTATCAATTTTAACAAGTATTTTTTAAACCACAAATTAGCACAAATATCAAGTCTGCTACGTGCTGCTGGCATTGCAAAGTGAATTCTCCAAATCCACGGGATGGCCGCGATTTTGTTTAGCTTTTTTCTCTCCTGCCTTCGCAGGGGCGGATCAGCTGCAGGGGCACCTGCCCGCG